TTGTGTTGATGCTCTTTACCATTTGGTTTATTTTTGGAGTGGCTGATACTGGTTGTTCCTTTCTATGTGTAGAGCCTCTTTAAGGAGCTCCTGTAAAGCAAGCCTGGTGGTAATGAAATCTCTGAGTACTTGCTTGTTTGCAAAGGATTTTATTTTTCCTTCACTTATGAAGCTTAGTTTGGCTGGATATGTAATTCTGGGTTGAAAGTTCTTTTTTTAAGGATGTTGAATATTGGCCCCCACTCTCTTCTGGCTTGTAGGGTTTCTGCTGAGGGATCTACTATGAACCTGATGGGCTTCCCTTTGTATGTAACCCGACCTTTGTCTCTGGCTGCCCTTAGTATTTTCTCCTTCATTTCAACCCTGGTGAATCTGATGATTATGTGCCTTGGGATTGCTCTTCTTGACTAATATCTTTGTGGTGTTCTCTGTATTTCCTGGTCTTGAATATTGGCCTGCCTTACTAGGTTGCGGTAGTTTTCCTGGATAATATCCTGAAGAGTATTTTCCAGCTTGGATTCATTCTCTTTGTCACATTCAGGTACACCTATCAACCGTAGATTAGGTCTTTTCACAGAGTCCCACATTTCTTGGAGACTTTGTTCTTTCCTTTTTACCCCTTTTTCTCTAATCTTGCCTTCTCGTTTTATTTCTTTGAGTTGATCTTCAACCTCTGATATCCTTTCTTCTGCTTGGTCAATTCGGCTGTTGAAACTTGTGCATGCTTCGCGAAGCTCTTGTATTGTGTTTTTCAACTCCATCAATTCACTTATATTCCTCTCTAATTTGTCCATTCTCGTTAGCATTTCATCAAATATTTTTTCAGGGTTCTTAGTTTCTTTGCATTGGGTTAGAACATGTTCTTTTAGCTCACAGAAGTTCCTAATTACCCACCTTCTGAAGTCTGATTCTGTCATTTCATCACATGCATTCTCCATCCAGCCTTGTTCCCTTGCTGGTGAGGAGTTGTGAACCCTTGCAGGAGGAGAGGTGTTGTGGTTTTGGGTGTTTTCATCCTTTTCACGCTGGTTTCTTCCCAACTTTGTGGATTTATCCACCTGTCGTCTTTGTCGTTGCTGACTTTCAGATTGGGTCGCTGAGTGGACGTCCAATTTATTGATAATGAAGTTATTTCTGTTTTTTAGTTTTCCTTCTAACAATCTGGCCCCTCTGTTGTAGGACTGCTTAGGTCCACTCCAGGCCCTGCTTGTCTGTGGATCACCTGCAGCAGCTGCAGAACAGTAATGGTTGTTACCAGTTTCTTTTTCTGCTATCTTTGCCCCAGAAGGATACCCACTAAGTGTCAGTCTGATCTCTCCTTTATGAGGTGACTCTTTGGATATATGGGGGTCAGGCAGCTGCTTCAGGAGACAATCTGTCCTTTACATGATCTCAAGTGCTGAGTTGTGAGCTCCATTTTTCATTCAGGGCTGCTGAGCAGGTATGTTTAGGTCTGCTACCACAGAACTCATAAACACCTTTTTTTTTCCCCAGGTGCTCTGTCCCAGGGAATTAGGGCTTTATTTATGAGTTTCCGTTGTGCTGCTGCCTTTTTTTTTTTTCAGGGCTGCCCTGCACAGCAAGGAGGCAGCCTAGTCACTGTCTGCCTGCAGAGGCTTTGCTGCGCTGCTGTGGGCTCAGGCCAGCTGTCGTGTGAACTTCCCTGCAGTCCTATTTATATGGGTGTAGTTAGAACTGTCCCAGCATTGGTGGCCCGCCTCTGTAATGGCAGACTCTCGCTATAATGGCGGGTTGCCTTAGCAATGGCGGACTACCTCTGAATTGGTGGAGTGCCTTGGCAATGGCAGACACCCCTCCTCCACAGAGCTGGACCATCCTGAATTCAGCTGTGCTTTCTGTGAAACTCTCAATCCAAAGAGTTTCTGATTGCTGTTCTTTTGTGGGGGTGGGACCAGCTGAGCCTGATCACCTGGCTCCCTGCCTCAGAACCTTTTGTTTTTTAGTTGAAGGACTCTATCCTAGTTGTTCCAGTTGCCTGTTGAAGGCGCTGGGGTCTATGTGATTTCCCCTGTGGTGACTCACTGCACTGCCTTAAACAGCCACGCTGAGATTCATGGGTCTTTTTTGTTTGTTTGTTTTTGCCCGGGAATCTCCTGGCCTGGCTCCCTGTTTCAGACCCTTTTTTAGTCAGATGAATGGGCGACTGTGCCTTTCCGGGCTCCAGTCGCCAGCTAAAAGGGCACCTGGACCATTGTATTTTGTGCGGAGAACTGCTGTGCCAGGGCACCGCAACACAGCCGCGCGGGCCAAAACAACCGTGGGGACCGAAACGGCCGCACCGGTCAAAACAGTCACGCTGACGACTCGTGGGGCTCCTCTGCCTGGGAATCTTCTGGTCTGTGGGCAATAAAAATCCGTCTGGAAATGC